TGTAATTCTCACTGCAAATCTATGTTTTGTCTTATGAAAATTTTCTTGTAGTTGTGACTGGAAATACATGTTTTGTGTTATGTTTTCAGTTCTTCTTCTTCTTTTGTTTTTAAAATTACAAATGCTTGGCCTCTCAACCTTATTAGTAAAAGAATAATGGATCCAACCAATGACATATAAATGTATAAATATGAAAGGCTATACCATAGTGGGGATAGGAAAATGTGGTTTGTTGTACCATCTTGGCCTTAATTTTTTTCTCAAAATCATACAATATGATATCCTGGTTGAAATAAACATACCAGCAAGTCTCATTAAGCTAGATAATTCGAGGCAGCATATCATGAATGTAGTTACTGCATATGATAATCTACATAATTCCCTATAGAAAAGATTCAAACAAATGAAAAATTCAGAAAATTTGAGAACCTTTTCCAAAATAGTAGCTCTTACAGCATATTTTGGACACATACTTTGTATTATATGGTGGAATATAATATAGTATATGATATATTATTTACGAAATAAATAAAAAATTTATTTTATTATATTCTAATAAATAAATGTTATTTTAGATTATTTAAAGTGTTTTTATTTTTTATTTACATACTATTTAAAAACTCATGGACGATGAAAATGCAATGGTCTTGTTATTTTTTATTTACAGAATATTAAAAAACTCATGAACTATGAAAAATGCAACAAACACCATCAACATCAAGCATATCATCAGGTATCTTTTTTAACTTTTTAAATTATTACCTTTGTTTAATTATGTAATTTTAACCAAATATGGTTTTCAACTAATGAGTTCAATATATTTTAATATACATTAACAAATGTATACAAGAAAAGGAACCGTGAGAAGATGAAGAGAAATTATGCTAATCATAATGACACAGAGAAAATAATACATTGATGCGCTCAAGAAACATAAGAAGAAACAAACTTCCCAAATTACTTGTCTTTTGATCAAAGATAAAAGTCATTGTCAATCGCAAGGTGTTAAAAAATATGCCTATGAAAAAAATATACCATTAGTTCATTAATTTATATTAGTACAATATATATGTAATTTATTTATTATTCCTTTAGGTTCAAAGAAATTGGCAACAGTATGTTCAGAGATTCATAAACTAAAGAATAGCCTAACTGTGTGCATTGTGATGCTGTTATATTTGAGTATGAACCTCCAACATTTTTTTGCGATAATGGAAAACTTAAATTGGCGCCCATTCAAGTTCCTGACGAGTTAATTATATCAGTTGTTTACTTCTCAAACATTAGAAGCTACTCAGTCATATGTTGTTCTCTCTAGAGGTACTTCAATGTCATCAACAATGCTTCTAATTAAACCGGACGTTATGAATGGTGGAGACACTTCTAAAACAAGAAATGTAGTATACAAAGAAGTTCTTAATATGCATTGACAAATGTATACAAGAAAAGGAACCGTGAGAAGATGAAGAGAAATTATGTTAATCTTAATGACACACAGAGAAAATAATACATTGATGCGGTCAAGAAACGTAAGAAGAAACAAAATTCCCAAATTACTTGTCTTTTGATCAATGATAAAAGTCATTGTCAATCGCAAGGTGTTAAAAAAATATGCCTATGAAAAAAAATACCATTAGTTCATTAATTTATATTAGTACAATATATATGTAATTTGTTTATTATTCCTTTAGGTTCAAAGAAATTGGCAGCAGTATGTTCAGAGATTCATAAACTAAAGAATATGCCTAACTGTGTGCATTTTGATGCTGTTAGATTTGAGTATGAACCTCCAACATTTTTTTTGGGATAATGGAAAACTTAAATTGGCGCCCATTCAAGTTCCTTACGAGTTGATTATATCAGTTGTTTACTTCTCAAACATTAGAAGCTACTCAGTCATATGTTGCTCTCTTTAGAGATACTTCAATGTCATCAACAAAGCTTCTAATTAAACCGGACGTTATGAAAGGAGGAGAAACTTCTAAAACAAGAAATGTAGTATACAAAGAAGTTCTTATTGTAGGTATATGTGTTTTACTCTTTTAAAATATAATTTTATATACGAAATATATTAATTGTACTTAATAAAACTAATTAAATTCTTACAGGACAAGGAAACAATGGACAACAACTCATACTACTTTGGCACATCAAAGGTAATGTATTAAAAATCTTTTCTTATACATTGATTCTATTTATAGATTAGAATAAATAGATCTCCAAAATTAAATAATTTTCAAAGTTTTTAAGTCTCATACTTTTAATTTTTTTTTAAAAAACAAATAAAATTCAAAACATTTTTCATCTGTAAATTATGACATTCAGTCACAAATATCTACATACTTCTAGATAAAGGTTATGTCTATAAGGAAAACAATAACAACTAAAGTCTCTTAATGAATTGTAATTGCGCTTTGAGCATATAGACATTCTAGGGGGCTCTTGTGGAATATGTAGTGAACTTTTATCGGGGGCATAAAAAGTAAGATGAATTTTTAATAAATACCAAGGCATGTGAGAATACAGTGTCCTTAAAACAGACTCGCCCCGTATGAGCGTCTGTTTCCCAAGATACAAAACCGAATCGAATTCGGCGAACTAGAATTATGCATGGACCAAAACACTATAAGGAAAAATGGGGAAAGCCTTTAAGAACTCTTTTATTTTATTTTTTTCTTATGTGTTCTTCTCAAAGGAAGACACCACTATTTATATAAGCACCAACCAAGAGTAATAAATGGTACGTTTTGTTTCATTCAAGTTTGACAATAATTGACAGTTTAAAGAATGAACTCTTATCTCTAATGTTATCAGGTTGTTAAAACTCTTTAAGAGTTAATTCAAACATTACGTTATAATTTCATTCACACACTTTTATTTTTCCAACAGAAAATTACCTGCCTTGGTAGTTAGTTTATGATGTAGGAAAACCAATTAACTTCGTAAGACATGCAGTCAATTTAAATGAGTAAACAAATTTTATTTTCTGTTGGCTGTTTTCAAAATTGAGTACTATGTGATAACTGAAAATAGTTATCGTCCTCTTACAATTACTTCCATTCATAATTTCTTCTCACTTTATTTTCAAATTTTTAATGCTATATAAAAAGATATCCGGGTATATTCTTTCAATGAAAAATTCCAAAAAAAGGGGTAATTTACAAATTCTTCGAGCATTTTGTCTTTTTAATACTTTCCATTTTTCGAATATTTGAACATTCAAATTTGTTTTCTTAACACTACTAAGATTATTTATTCTTGGAGTTCCTTTTTCGTTCTCTTTTGAGATTCTTTCTATTTGAATTTTTGTTAGGACATTTGGTGGGTATGTTCATTCTCCTCTGGCTTTTATGACTAAGGTTTTTATTACTTGTAATTCCTTATACTATATTTTAAAATCATACTATTTTATTAATGTTGTCGATATTCATTTGTAAGCATTTATTTTGTCAATAAAGTGCGAGTATGTCCTTCACTGGAAAACATATTTTTTCTTCATGTTGATGATTTTACAAACCTTTGCATGAATTAAGGACGCGTGCCAAGGAGGTCGCTGATGGCGTTTCTAGGAATAGAAAACTTAATGATTATTTTATTAGGAAGTTTAACAACTCTCTAAAAAGTGAGTCTCAAAAGTTTAGGTACAAATGTTGCTTTGAAGTACTTGTACTTATACTTCATTCAGAATAAGAGACTCAAAGGAACTGCATTTCCTATTCCTCTCTCTCTCTCTCTCTTTGATCAAGTAATTTCTTTCTTCTTGCATTTCATGTTTAGTTGCCGTACATTCTTCATGCCAGGTTGATAGTTGCTTAAAATCTTTTTTTTTTTTTTATTCAAAATCAAAAGGCTATAGGAAAACCATTAATTGTATGTAACGAAATTGAGTTAGATTACAACATTGAAGTCACAATTTAATGCAAACTCAGCCGCAATATATCTAGGAAAAGGTTTGATAAAGTTCATGTAACATCAAGCTTTGATATTTCAACTCTCTTCATGGGTGAAGGATATGCTTAATTATATACCAATCTTATGTTATTTTTCTCTAGAAAAATACAACCATTCTAATCTACAAATTAAATGTCAAAACCAACCATATCTATTAAAAACAATGCAAACATGTATTTATTTATTTATTTTTTTTAAAATGACATTTGCTTTAAAAGTAGACATGTGTACTAAAAAAAACGCATATGTGAACATAACTTTTATCATTAACTTTTTTACAACCTATGAATAACATATTTTACATATTCTTACAAAAATTTATTTTACATGTTCTTACATACCTATTCAAAAATTAAAATAAATAAAAATAAAATATCTTAAGATTTCAATCTACATTTTAAAAACATAAAATTCAAATTCGGTACACGTGCAACGCACGTGCACCTTACTAGTATCATCAAATGTACAAATATTACAAACCGAGAGAAAATCTGCTCAATGCTACAAAGCATAAGAGAACCACACTCCATGGCCTCGACCTCAAAACAATACACAAATTACTCAAAATAAGGCAAAACTGAGGAAGCAGGAAATGTTGAAACCCTCAGCTTGCACAACAAACAATAATCCAACTACATACTAATGATAAAATACACCAAGAAATAGAAAACAATAACACAAATGCAACAATCTTCAATGCAGATAGGAGTGTCCACTGAAACCAAGGCACCTAGACTCCCTCCATCTCTCCATTGTTAATCATCAACTGAGCCGAGAAAGAAATTCCTTCCAGTCTGCCACTGCTGCTTTTACTATAATGTGGACTGGCAGCCATTCATGTTTGAATATCCACAAGTTTCGAGACTTCCACAACCACCATAGAATATAAGTGGTCAATTGTATACGAGCTTTTGATATATCTTTTCTATCTACCAAACATACATTCTCCCACCACATTCTGAAGCTGGTAGTGGTTTCAGTGCTGAAATCCCAAGATACATGAGCCAATTTCCAAACCTGCTTGGTCTTCTTACAGTGAAAAAATAAGGGCTCGGCTGTTTCAACCTCCTCTCCACATCTATGAAATATACAGTACACATCCATCCCTCTCTTCATCAGGTTGCATTTGACAAGTAGAGAATTAGCGAAGCTTCTCTAAACAAAATGTTTTAACTTACCCTTGATATTTAGTCTTCAACTCCTCAATCTCGTTTTCCTGCTTTTGATTTCTTGGCCACTGCCCTCAGCTATGTCAAGAGCTCTGAACTTGCCTTCCACAAATTTGGAGTATGCCTTAGCCACTCGAAACTCTCCTTTGGCATTTCTGTCCCAAGACCACTGGTCTGATCTAGTTGAATTGATTGAGCTGATTTGCAAAATGGCTTTGTAGTCCTCTTCAAAGAATAACTCTTTAAGCAGACTAATGTTCCATCTCAATCCACCATCTTCCATTAGTTCCCAGACATACACCACATCAGTTACAATGTTTGGTTTGAGAGTTGGAATACCTGTTGGAGTTGAAGGCAGCTATGGATCCAGACAAATTTTAGTTGAAAGACCATCACCAACAACTATCCTGAAACATTGCTTTTGCTTGTTCTTTACAGCCATCCATGTGCACCAGAGCCAAGAGAAACTGTAACGCCCCATTTTATTTTAAAGAATTTACCGAGTTTATATATTAAAATCAGAGTTATTTTTTTTTTTTCACAAAATCTCAAATTAAAATTTAAAACTCAACGGGCGCTACTTATCTACCAAGAATAAATTAAACAAAAATACAAACACATAAAACCAAGCATAAAACAATAAGGAGATATCTATACATGCATAACTAACAGTTATAAACAATAAATCCAAGCATTTATTAAGTCCCCAAAATAACCATAAGCAAAGGATAATCCCAAAGGTTCAAATCCGACATAACTTAATTATCCCAATCAAGCAGAAAAATAAAACCAAGTCATGAAACAGTAATTCCACAATGTCATAAATAAGCGGAAACATATATCATGATAACATAATCGACCCATTGACCACCATCTCGCTCGTTTTTACGCCACCGCCACCAGCTCAGCTCAACCTAAAGGAAAGGAAAAGGAGGACAAACAGAAAAGTAATGGGGGTGAGCATCACCATCGAGCTCACCATTATCGCACAGTTTATCCCGTATAAAAATTTAAAATAACATAATCATAGTATGCATAGAATCCAAAGTCTAACTCCCTACTCGGCTCTATCGCAAACCTCCTATGTACATACAACAACCTTCCGGATACAATGGCAAGGCAGTAACTGGAAACCTTCCCATATCTGAATATAACTACGGGCCTGTGATCCTTTCCAGGAGACAATATAGTTGTTTGTTCCCTTCACGAATATCATACGGACCGGGGCATCACCTCTCCGAATCTGAGGGCCGATGACCTCTCACTGTTTATGCATTCCTCAAAGGCACTAACATACGAGTCACTTAGACTAGGGTTCTCACGCATACAATATTTTTCAAACGAAGCATTTATACGAAATATTAAGTGCGATAAATGTAGATACACTTAAAAGTACCCACCTGATTGAAGCGACAGTTCACAATCACGAATCTCGAAAGCAGGGTGAGGTCAACACCTCTAAAACACCTATATTAAGTCTAGATACTAAATTCAACCCCTTATCTAGACCTAAATAGGAATTCACAAAAGAGACTTAGTCGAACTTGATTCAACTAAGATGTTCGTGAAGTCCTGTGGATGTTGGAACTCTTGGACTTAGACTCGATCAACCAAACATGGGAGTTAACACAATTTCACATAAAAGATAATCCAAACAAGCCTCCAGAACAACGAGTGAATCGGTTTATTGCTTTTAATACAAAAACTACGTTTTTTACAATACCAATCGATATATCACATAATCAGGTTGATCAGGTTTCCGAATGAGTTAGGTTCTGAAATTTTAACACAAAATCCACCTCTCAGAACTTAGTAAAACCATCAAATTTCAGCCCCAAACTCAAAAAGCATAATTTTACAAAATTCAAACAAATTAACAGCAATTATGAGCATAAATCCGTAACCTGACTTAATGAACGAATTATAACATGTTTTAACCCAAGCAGTAGCAGCATGTGAGTAACAACATATAATTTACTGTGCAACTCAATTTCATCAACTTTGGAGCACAACTCAATTTACTGTGCAATTAACACGATTCTGCCCAGAAATCACATTAATTAATTAAAATAGCTACAATTATTATTTTAATCAAAATTTTTACATGAACTACATGTTCATCAGAGGACATGGCACATAAAATTTTACGGTAATCGGAGCAACCTACAATTTATTGTGATTTTAACACATAAAAAACGAATAATCACATTTGAGATTTCGAAAAATCACATACGACTCGTTAATCACAAAAACTGTCTGAGTCCTTAACCATAAGGCCATGGACTTCATTTTGTTCCAATTCCACAGCCTTCACACGATTATAAAGTGATCTCGTTCGGTTTCTCAAAATCAACGAGATCAAAATATATATATTAACATGTATACATTTATTTAACATAACGCCATTATACACACTACTACATCAACAAGGAATTTCCATAACATATAACGATCACCATATAACGTAACACATAATTAAACGAGAGCGATCGAGACTCGATACCGTTCTCGGGAAGCGTGCGACAATGGATTGAACAGGTTGATGGGACGACGGGCTCAACGGCTTCACGCATCTCGCCGAGGAAGGGGCAGCGGCTGCCGGCTGGTCGCGTAGGTGCTCACCGAGAAGGGGGACTGTAACAACGGAGGACGGCTTCGCGGGCTGAGCAGGTTCACGACGAGGAGGAGCTGCAGGCGGGGTCGCGAGCGGGTAGGGGTTTCTCGCGGACAGGGCTCGCCGGAAGAAGCTTCGCGAGGAGGGGAGATCGCCGGAGGGGGGCTACAGGTCGGCGGAACAGCGAGTGAAGGTCGCCATTGGTGGAAACAGCGACAGCGGAGGAGGCTCGGGTGGTGGCGACGAAATTTTCTTGCGATAGAGGTGAGGGTAGCGATCGTGTTTTTGAGAGAAAACAAGAGAGATTGAGCGAGAGAGGTGAGGGAGAGATTGGGCTGTGCGTTTTGTTCCGTCATGACCGAGAGAGACGAGAGATTAATAGATGTAGGGTTTAGTTTCTTTCCTCTCAAGTACCACACACACACACACACACACACACACACACGTTTAGGAAAAACTGGGTTCGGACGGGTGGTTCGGGTCTTGGGGTGGGTGTGCAGGTTTAGCTCGCGGGCTGGTTCAGTTCAACTTGGCTGGTTCGCGGGCGGGTTCGAGATAATAACTCGGCTCTCGGGCTCGATTTTGATCGCACGATAAAATAAATAAAACTTCGGGTAGTATTTATACACACATTATTTTAAAATAATAATCAAAATATACAATTAGGCAATTAATTACAATTAGGCAAACAATAATATTTAGAAATTCAATACTAATAATAATAATATTTATCAATAATAATAATAATAATACTTCAAATAAACAATAAATAAATGGGACATTGCAGTCTACCCTCCTTAAACGATTTTCGTCCCCGGAAATAAAAGAAAGGACATCCTAACAGAACAACTGACACAAGAGAGAAGCTCAAACCACTAAACTCGGATACTACGTCCGAATCTCCCTACTCTACCAAGTCACACCGCACTAGCCACGGCTACCCCGCCGGACTTTGACGAGTACCTTTCCTGGACTCTCCCTGATGGATTCGTCAATCCAGTAGGTCATCGGTTCCTCATCAAAGGTAAGGTTCTACCCACATGCAACTCGTCAAAGTTTGCCACGTGCCCATAGTCACGCACATGTCCCCTCTCCACGAGGCACTGAACAGGTCGTGCACTCTTGCAAGCTCCGGTGATGGGGTCAATTGTTAGGCTAAGTCGCCAACTCGGTCGAGAATCCTATAAGAACCGACAAAGTGTGGCTGATACTTCCTCTCTTCCTAGAGTCCGAGGCGTAAAACACCTCTTTCCGTACTCAGAACCTCGTACGGTACCATCGAGATCGTCGCTCATTAGCCATCGCTATAAGCGTTCTTTCCAATGGTAAGAAATTCCACACGACATACCTATCGAGTACACCAGACTCCAACCAGTCTCTCAGGGTCTCGACAGCATGTCCTAAACACCCAACTATCTGGACTTGCTACGCGGGGCCGAGTTTAGTCTCGTGCCCAGGTCACGTCGACTACTTGTGTAACAACCCGCCTTGACTAGCTTTGACTTTTGAAAAATCAGAGTAAATTTTTCGCTTTTATTTTCGAAATGTCATGCGAGTTTATTTTCGAAAATACTTACTTAATTGCGGGATGCTACTAAAACTTACTTAACTTACTATTTCAGACGTGAATAAAACATACAACCCATCGAGTCCCTACGGTGATAGTGAAACATACATGCAGTCCGATAATCTCACATTACTTAGTCTAGCGGAAGCTTAAACTGAAAACATACATAACACACGCATACTTATAAATACATGTTCATGAATTTAAGACATAAAATGCGTGTAAAAATGTCCTCTGCTCATGACCACGAATGCCACGTCTGCTCACCCGGCACGCTGGACTCCGACACCTGAAATAAGAAAGACTGTGGGAGTGCGAGCACATCTGCATGCTCGTGGGAAAACTGGAACTTTAATAATCTTAACTGTAAACATAAACTTAAAAGCAGCATAAAATAAATAAATAAGTTCTGCTGAAATGGAACACTTTTCTTATACTTATACTGTGGTCTCAAAGACCCTTATAGGCCCTTACTTCGGCCGTTCGTGTGCACATCACCCAATAAGACTGAAGGCCCTTAGGTCGGCCCCTTATCGGGTACCAGGCGGAATAGGAAGGCCCTTAGGTCGGCCTCTCACCTAGGAGAAACTTAATATCTTGAACATACCTCAGTCATGGTACAATAATTAGGACAGTGTAAAACCCAGTACATGACCCTTGCTCTGGCCAACACTGAATTAGACAACATCTATAATAACATATCATTAACTTCAATATATACGAGCTGAACTTAATCTCTTTTCTTTTCCTTTCTTTTCCTTCTTTTCTTTTCTTTTCTTGTGGTCAAAGACCCTCGGCCTTTAGGTCCGCCGCTCGATGTGCACAACCCGATCTGCGGGTACCAGGCGGAATAGAAAGGCCCTTAGGTCGGCCTCTCACCTGGGAGAAACTTAATTGAACCACAAACGGGATGATTCAACCGTCTGGGTAACTTACTTACTCACGTACCTTATACAGGATAACTGAAATGTGCAACGTAATGCCCTGTAAAGGCTCCCACCTGGTATGCTGAAAATAGCTGGCAAGTGCGTGAACTGAAGTAGCGGTTGGAGGCTCGACTCTCCTTAGGCTACATAACATATAGAATACTGCTAAGTATTATGCTCAGAATATTTAATTATTATGCTAAGATGCTCGGTTCTAAATGCTCATTTACCGGATGAAATAGACTGTGCTAAAAGTTCGCTTAAAAATACTGTTGATATCCGGATCGGGCTCCCATAAGGGTAATGATCCGAGAGACCGCGAACCGGGCGAGGCCGGCCCGGCCAGTGGGGCTGGTTATCATGTCCATTATCAGGTGCCGAGTTGAGTATGAGTCAAAGTCAACGGGAGGCGGACAACGTCGGATCCCGAGGCCGGTACCTCAGCGCTCCCGTTATGGTGCCGACCAACTCAGATATGGGGTATGGAAGACCGGAGGACAAGCAAACTATCATAGCTCGGCTCAGGATCCTACCAGCTCGGCCCTCGTGGGGGTTAAGTATCCAGGAAACAGTTAAATAAGGCCACTTCAATCAATGATTGCCGACGGGACATCTCGGACTAGCCTGCAGGTCTAGGACGTCTAGCCCGGCCAAGGAGCATGTCCGCATTAAATGCAGCCCACACCAGCATTAAATGCATTGCAGGTAATGATTGAAAGATCCCTAAATCACTCCCAATCAGTCAGAGAAACGCCGGTTTGTCTTGTCGAATTACTGTACGACAAAACCTGTGAACAGTATCCGAGCAGTATCACATTTAAGAGCCCTATAAATAGGAGTCTTGAGCATTTATTTTGGGTGGGTGAATCCCAACTGTCTTAACTATCTCTACATTTTCTCTCTCTAAACTTGTAAGGAATTTGTGTAAGAATTTGTAAGTATATCGCAAGTGCCGACCTCGTGCTAGAGGCCGACCTCGTGATCAGTTAATAAAATTAAAATTAAACCTTATTTCTTTGTCTTTTCCTTGTTACCTTTTCATTATTCATCTTTTTAACCGGGACCAAAAACGCCCGACAACAGTTTGGCGCTAGAAGAAGGGCACCATAAGTTACTTGGTGTCAATTTTTCGATCTTGTGGAACTCCACTTTGAACAGCTTTTCTTCCCGACTCTTCATCTTCAAGAAACGCTCGAAATGGTTTCTTCAGACCAAAACGAGTCCACCCAACAATCTGGCGCACAGTCGCGCCGGCGCAACGGCAGAGAGGCCTCCCGCCGCGCTCTGGAGGGGCCCATAGTCACCGTCCCGCCAGTCCCCACCTTCGCTGCGGCCATGCAGCACCCCGACGTCCTCAAAGCCCTCGAAGGGGTCTTCGCGAAGACGCTCGCCAGCCAGGCGGCCGGGGGAAACACCATGGCGCCCACGGCCCCCGGCAATACCCTACACCATACCCCCGAAAAGAAGGCCGGAGGGCAGAAGAACCCGACGAGGTCCAAAACCATGGCTCAATCACCAAACCGTGAGGCCCGAGATCGCTGCGACAGGAGTACCAGGTCGGCTCCTGCTGAGCAGACGGGGGAGAGCCGTTCAGAGCAAAGCCTCCAGATCGTCCGCCGTTCCGTTCACCAACGCCTGGGTGACAAGAGCCAAGCCAATCGCGATCTCTGGGAAGCCATCAAGCGGGGCAAAGCTATAGGGCGCGACACTGACGAAGTCGCGGCCCTCAAGCGCCGAATCGCCGAACTGGAAGGACGGCACCCCTCCAGGAGTGAGCTGTCGCTCCCCGCCTATCCACAATCTTGCGCACGACCGATTCCCCGAGCCACGGACAATGCTTCGCCTCTTTCCCCCGACATCTTGCAGGAAGCCGTCCCGAAGAAAATACAAGTACCTCAGCTCGGTCTCTATGATGGGAGCTCGGACCCCGATTCCCACATTGGCCTCTACACCTCGTGGATGGACCTGCACGGCGTCTCTGACGCCCTACGCTGTCGCATGTTTCCCTTGACGCTGGGGCCGAAAGCGCAGAGGTGGTATCATTCTCTTTACCCCCATTCCATTTCCTCTTGGGGGCAGCTCATGTCGGCGTTCCAGTCACACTTTATCGGATCGCAGGTCAACCTCGCCCCCAAGAAATCCATCGCCAAAATTGTTCAGGGCAAGAACGAGAGCCTAAAGGACTACATTACTCGGTTCAACGATCGGGTCCAAAACATAGAACGGTGCCACCCTGACACCCTGCTGATCATTGCCCAGGGCAGCCTTAGACCAAAAACGCTGTTTAAATGGTCCTTGTACCAGAACAAACCGACTACCTACTAGGAGTTTCTATCCCGAGCTCAGGACTATATAATGGCGGAGGAATCCTTGTTGATCCCCACGTTTGACACCACGCCGGCACCGGCAAAGGGAAAGGCGAAGGAAGAAAAACCTGGAAAGCCCAACAAGTCGTTCGCCGAGATC